GCAACATATTTACTATTCCCTTTTTGGAAGTAACAACTCAGTTTCTTACGTCCCTTTTCTCGGTAGTACAAAAGCCCGAACTAAAGGCTGTGAACGCATGTATAGAAAATAGAGATCAAAAGCGGAAATACGTTGACTGATTTACTGCGACTATGAACAAATGGAACTTTGTTTTATTAATGAACTGAATGGAATTTCTCACCATTTCGAACAGAACTTTCATGATTTCCTTGAGGGTACGTGGTGTATTTGCTACCACAATCTTCCAGACGTGGCCAGCCGCTTGACGAACGATTAAGGCAACGTCGGATCTGTCAATTCAATATTTAAAAATAAAATCAGGTAAACTACCAAACAGAAACCAACCTTGCCAGATATAAACCAGCCAAAACGCTGTCACGACACTGTTGTCCAAGAGCTCGCACAATGCTCTTGCCTGCGTGCTCCATACCCATGGTATCATCTTCATTCGCGGTTGACGATGTACTCTTGCCCGATACCCCTGGAAATCATCTTTGTACATATCGAGGCATATGATAACTGAAATAACTTACCTGATATAGTAAACAGGAAGTCTCCGATAAGCTGCACTGAAGCGTGACGAATTCTCCAGTTCTCGTCGTGAAGGGCGCTCTGCAATTGCGGCAGAAGCAGACGTCGGGCATGTGAACAGTACTGAGCGAATGAGTCTCTGTCCTGCCTTCAGTGCAGACGCACGAACATATCTAAATTTCTAGTAAGAAACCAAGAAAATTAATCGATCCTTATGATCATTCATCTACGCTATATGTTCCAAGACATGAGGCGGACCCACTGTGTATTTGCAAGCACGAGTGGTTGCGGCGGGAAAGAAATCTAACTTTGTCTGTCGATGAGCAGCAGGACCTTTCTGACTTTTACTACTAATCGCTTAAACATGGACATAGGGTTCCGTGGGTAAGTCCTATCATAACGGGAGGGGAAAGCGGGGAGGGAGGGGATTGTAAATTCTTGGAGTCCGTATGAACCGACGGTTGACGCTAGTCGGACAGTTCTAGAAGTGTGGTGGGGCAATCGAATCTTTTGTCCCGAAACTAGGTGAAATCAGCCAGTGAGGATGTCGTCGGACATCATTTCATCATTTCCATGCTATCGTAATTCACACTTTAACAAGACCTTGATTGAGCTTCTAATGCCGCAAAATAAAGCAAGTCTGCACAGCCCACAAAATTTGCCAAAAAGATAGCAAAAAGGATAATCAAAAAGAAAAAAAGGTTACGTACTCGTTTTCGTCAGCTAGAGCTTTGAGAATGGGCGGCACGATTTGTGGCAGGTACGGTAGGAAATTTTCTCCAAACACCATTGGTAGATAGATGTACATAAGAATGTAGCCATCTCGGGTTTCAGCAGTGACCTGAAAGCCCTTAGTTTACTTTTCTTGAATTAAGTAAACCCCATTATACAATGCGAGAGGATTGCTCAACTAATAAATAATAATTGACAGCTCGCTGACTTCAACAACTGTATTCCTTACCTCTGTACTCTCAGTGGCAGCAATAATTTCGGGCATAACGAACTCGAGCTGTTCGGAGCCGATGCCAGCCAGTACTTCGCAGAGACCTTGAGCTGCTCCAGAACGATCGACAGTCGAATGCGGAGAAACCTGAGTGAGGCTTACTTTGGCAACAGCTGCTAGATTATTTCGTGAACAAGTGTGCCTACCAATTTCTCTTTCAACCAAGGCACAATACTTCCACGTAGTTTTTCGCTGGTTGCACCTGTAGATTTTGCCACAATCGCTCCAAGCGCACGAGCTGCCACTGTTCGGATTTCTGGCACGGGATCAAGCAGCGACTTTTGCAGTCCTGGCACCAAATCGCACATGTAGGGCTCCATATCCTACAAAGTTCAAGAATTAGGATTTTTGAACACCTCGAAACTCTCATAATGCTTTACCTTGTGTTCAGTGAGCGTATAAATGTTCGCAATGATCTGTGCAGCTACTTTTCGTGTCTCACTGTTTCTATCTTCGAAAGCTCGTCGAACAACCGGCATAATAAGCGCAAGTGACGGTGCATCGATGTAGTGGAATGAATTTGGTATTCAGAACAGCCTGCAAAGAAATTAGAACTTCTCTGCACAAACTAATCCAATATCTTTACTTGCTAGAAGCACCGCTATCGTAAAGGATAAAAAAGATTGGGAGCCTGGTAAGTAAGAGCTAGGATTATCTGCTACAGCCAGCTGTCAGTGATGGACAAGCTACAATTTCCAAAAAAAAACCGAGACAGCATGAAGGAGGATCGGTCCTCCAAGAGAAGGTGGACCTGTCGAAGGGGTTTTATTTTTCCGGAAGTGTTCTAATGTAAGCAAAGACAGGGAAGTACTCACAGTACACAGTTACGAAAATGCTAATTCATCAAGCTGCGGCACACTGAGAAGAAAATTTCTCAAGAAATCAGGATACTTGAAGCGCTCACCTGCAAGGCATAATTGGTTTTGTTGGCCGGATCCAACAATCCCGAAATCAGCTGATTCGAAACTCCCAGGATTTCTGGATTTCTGATGACACTCGCGATCTGTCTAAGGGCTTTTTCACCACTTCTTTGAACCTAAACATGCCGTCTAGAAAATAGCGCTACATAAGAACAAAATGATAATGAAAATACCTTGGACGAGGAATCTGCCAACACTTCGATTAGTTTTGGCACAATATTAGGTAGACATGCAGACAGTTGTCGTGGAGCACAGAATGCCATGGAACCAAGTAACTCAGTCTGCAAGAATAAGTGAGATAATATATAATTTCTAAAGCCAGATGGCGTTTGCTCAGACCGTGGTCACTAACTCACCGCCGCGCATTTCGTTCGCCAAGACTCATCGTCAAGTGCTGTCAGTAGCGAAGGAAGAACCAGCTTCGTACCATGAGGTGACATTGACGACATCATGGCCACAGCAGTATCCTGAAACGCTCAAATACTCAAGCCCAGCAAGAAAATAAGTTTCAACAGTGCTCCATCATAGAGCTACGACAAGACATCAAAGTGATGAGAGAAAACATTACTAACCTCAGCAGCTCTGCGGACACTTTCATCGCTATCTCCGAAGCAAAGCAGTAACGATGGCAATGCTTGGATCATGTACGGCTCGAAAAGTTTACCGAACGGTGCTCAAACAAAACATTTCGGCTATCTCACTAAACTTTCATCAGATTAATGCATACCTGCATAAGATTTCCAGAAGCCAAGAAGGCCACCCTCGCGATGTTTAGCGTTTTTCTTCTCCAGCAGCGCTTTTTGAATCGCTGGTAGAAGGTCCAGTTCCTGGACACAACCAAAATGCAAAGCAAGCCAGAAATGAATGCCTTTCATACCACATAATCAGTCAGATCTCACTCCTACTATTCTTCTTTATTACGTGTTTGCTGCTTGGTATTATATACACTTTTTCGAGAGCAGTTTTTCTGACCTACGGGAGCTAAAAAATGTTGAATCATGAAGTTTTGGCATTGATCGATCCCTTTTTTGATGGGCTACGCATCCCACTTCCATTCAGAATCGTAGTGATGCATTACAGTCTATTTAATGGCTAGACACCCCCCGTTGGGACTTCGCTTTTTTTGCTCGCTCAGACATAAGTATCGATATCGTGTGGGTCCAGTACCTACAGGTAGACGAGGCTCTACGTCTTTGGTCATTGAGAGTTGACCGGAGTGGTGCTCAGAAATGATGCACTATTTTTGATCTTGCCACATCATATCGTGGTAGCAGCGATCCCCTTTTTACAAGAAACGGCGCAAACGCGCTGAGTATAAGTATTAAGAAAGTACGGATTCTTGAACAGAAACTTCTGAAGAGGCTGATAATCGCGATCAAGAAATTCCTTTTCAAAAGGCAGAAGTTCTAACTATTTAATAAGACAAATAAATGATCCATTAAGCTAACCACAACCGATATTAATTTACAGCTAACCTTGAGTGAAGACACACCCATTCCTTTGACAATTCCAGCTATGCCGTAGGCAGCACCACGACGTTCACCATAAGAGTCAGCTTCGAACAACAGCCATTGCAGTTTTTGTATCAACGTCTTCACTGTGTCTCGAATCGCCGGAACCAATGGTGAAAGACATCTCGACACCGATTCTTGAACCTGAATGTCCGGCGATCATTAGCTGCCAATAACCCGCCGCAACTTTGTGCAATTGACAAAAAGTTCAAATATATAAAGCTCTCAGCGTTAGTCAGCCTCCTTTTCGTGAGATGCTTCGTACTCGACAAAAACATGTTTGAACAAAACATGAATATCAAAAAAAGAAATGATAAGCGGTACCGGTTGACTGGGAGTGGAGAGTGCTTCCATCAGTCGAGCTACAATGTCACGGACTTTATCAGAAGAAGGATCGAGGTATTGAGCAAGGGTTCCGAGAAGCACAACCAATCCTTGTCTCAAGTTGTCATGCTCTCCTCCACTTGGTGTGGAATCCGATAGTTGTTCTAGAATGAAACAAGGAGTGACAATACATCATAGGAATCCTTGCCGGAAAATTCTTGCACTCTTTCCCAACATGAATATGTCAGTTGTGATCACTAGGAAACAACACACAAAGTTTCACGCACGAAGATTCGGTTTCCGAAGAGAAACAAACTTACAAAAACCACACTCTATGGACAATCGAAGGTAAGCGGCGGAGCCAAAGGCGGGGCATGGAAAGAAGTCGCCTTGGGGCGGCTACGTATCAGGCGACGCAATGAAAGAATCGGGTTAAAGCGTTCGATTTTGGAGAATAGAGACAAATCGATCGATAGAATAGGATGCAGTAGAAGTGTGAGATGTCAATGCAATAAGTCAAAAGGTCAAAAGAGTTTCTAGTGACAGCACTAACCAAGTGGAAGCGTTCCCGCCGCCAGCATTTGTGACAGATGTCCGGCGGGAATTTGAACGCGTAGCAGTCCTTTCGGTTTTTCGAATTGTTTACCAAAACAAATGCAATTTTTGTTCTTTTCGTTCTTATCGTGAAGATGGGTCTCAAGCCAGTGATATGGGTGAGATAGAATCATGATTTTCCACGAACGATGGGACGCATTCCTTCAGATGAGCCCTGCGGCCAGGTCTGTCTTAACTGCAAATTCAGCAACACCTGTGGCATGAGACAGCAGCAAGATCACAAAAACCACACATTATGCATTTAGATTTCCCACCTAGTGTGATGAGAAAATGGTAGACCCAACACGGGAAACCACACATACAGGGGATCATAGAATTAAACGGGGCACAAATTTGAAATAGGTGATCGGAGTGAACCAGGAGACTTTGACCGCGGCACCGTGAGAAAACGGCTTCAAGCTACAAGCTGCGTCCTGTACGCAACTCATTTAGTGTGGGGCGCGCCAAAAATAGCGTTCGCTCGTCCGCGCGCGCGGTGACCCCAATTTTAGCGCACCACTACAGCGGGTTCTCCTGCTCCAAACCCGCGAAATGCCTTATCAGTATCGTAATTTCTCACCTAGGAATGGCAGTAAATCATTCATGACGGCTCGACCGTGCTTTCGAATTACTTCAACGGCCGCATCTCGCATCCCGTTTCTACAATCAGCGTGACGGTCACCAAGCCCTTGTGGAACAACCTAGATAGGAATCAAAAATATTTTCTTGAATAGTAAAGGAATATTTCACTTAAACATAAATCAATCCTCTAAAAGTACCAATTTGATGAATTGCATTGCATCCTTGGCTTCTACATGATCTGCCAAACGTCCTAGAACTCGACCAACTCCACTACGTCTCGCCCATTCATCCACACTATCCGAGACCATCCGACCAACCTCATCGAAAATTGGTGGACGAATTTTAGCCAAGTCAGTGTAGACCTGAAAATTCCTCAAAAATCGCGCACTCAGTAATCAGCATTATGAACAGAGACTTTCATTCCTTACAAGCTCAGAAACTAAATTCATGATCCCTGTCTTTATTACATGTTTCTTCGCAGTGACTACTTCTACAGAAACCGATCGAAAGTTGTACTCATTAGAACTAACGCATAGCAACCTACAATCAAGGCAAGTATTAGAAACGACTCGCCAAGTTTAATCAGAAAGCTGCGAGCACAGTTTTATCCGGAACATCTTGCACAAATGCGGCAGTTGTGCGCCCGCGGCAGACTCACGGACAAACGCCACCTCGGAGACGCACTTATCTATAAACAGATGTAAGCAAATAATTGCCTATTCAGCTATAAATGATGAAATTAACAGAAAGACTTCGATTCATGTAAGATAGAAAGGCTGTCAAACATACCAATAAGCGGTTCAGCCATTTCGGGTCTCAAGTGGAACACTGATGCATACCATAATTGAGACGCTTGTTCAGCCACAGCCTCAACAGGGTCAAAGCGAGCCACAAACACACGAACAAGGCATTCAATAGCAAACCGGCTGTCGTCCGATGACAACACGAGGCGAGTTAACAGCTGTGGTGCTGACAAAACCTAATAAAAGTATTCTAAATAACGTCTTGCACCTTTAAATTGAAAACAGTTTAGTGAGAAAAATGTAAGACCTTGATGACATTCTCTCGTAAGTCGCAGCTATCATTGTCGAGATAGGCTAGCGTACTCCTAGCAAGACTGACGACGCGTGGCCCAGTATCTTCTGTCTCGTTTGCAAGGCTGACAAGTTGCAGTAGTGCCTGAAACCAGCTCTTACTTGGTCTATCGCTAAACTTGCGAATTGAAGAATGGGTATGGTCCTACTCAGCAACGAATTTGTCGGTGCTAAGCTACCCTTGAGGGCAGGAAAAAACAAAGAAACCGTTGAGGAAGTCATAAATAGGAACTCCTCTTCACTAACCCTGGACGAGCTTACTATGGCAAGTGTGCGCTGGGACGTTTTTCGGACCGCTAGCTCCATGCTACTGCAACCTTCCAATGTTGGCCGTAACGACGGCGCAGGGAACTACAGCCGCATTCATGTGACACCGTCACTGTTGCAGCTGACATCGGAAGATGAGGCTTTCTGACGAGGCGTGCACTGCGAGCTGAGAGCTACTAGCGCCTTCGTTGCGCACCTTCGAGTCGCGAAGGCAGCCAGCATCAATGCTTGCGAGGTCTGCCATGATACGTGGCGGAGTTGGTGAGTGTGCCTAGTACCGTGCAGCGCCTTTGAAGGTCGATTTTACGATGAAAATTCTTTCAGCTTCTTGGGGAAAAGGTAGCGGTGGTTAGTGGAGCAGGGATGAAGAAGAAACCATGTGAAACGGCCCGAAACCCGAGAAATGGACCCCTTCCTTGCCGTTGATTTCCGCATTGATGCGACTCTCATCGTTATGCCCTCCCCAACACTACGCTCTTTCGAAAAATGAGTATTAAAGTCAAGATCGCAGAAGAACAGTATCTCTAACTAGCCACAAATTACCTGCCGCGAGTGGGACGATAGATTCCTTGCGTATTCCGAGAGCAAGAGTGATGCGTATTCGTTCATCGGCAATTGCAATACGGCATTATCCTTAAGAAAAACTCTATTTCAAGAATATGACTTAAAATTTCTTGTTTGTAAACTTTTCACGAGGCAAATTTCCGTAAATGTCTGGAAAAATGAAGAAATTTCTAGAGTATCAGAAAACTTCGAACCTTCAAGAAACGTCGATGAATAGCGTTTTGCAAGAGTGTCAGAGTAGCTTCTCTAATATCATCGCTAAAATGGCTAGAAGGCGAAAGAATTTCGCGTATCATCGGATAAAGCACTGTTAACTGAGTAGCACCAACGATATCTTCGAAAATGAATGAATCATCCTAAATTGCACGACTAAGAGTGCGTTAGAACCAAACTTTTAGCAAATTTCCGACGTACGTCATCTCCAGTCTCCACGATGAAGGCGCGCTCATTTAGCAGCTGGAGACTCCGCTGGAGAGCTGAATTCAGTGGCTCATCGTGCCAGTTGGCCACATGCCAGTGAGCGCCAATCACTCGAAGAATGGTACTTCCCAGTAACTCGTCTGCAAAAAAGATTTTATTTCTTTTTGAAAGTAAGGAAAATGCGTACCTAACCATAAATGCTTAATT